GAATATGCAGCGGTAGTGTGGTGCCCATATCTTAAGAAGCACATCAACAAACTGGAAAAGGTGCAAAGACATGCTACATAGTGGCTCCCAGAACTGAAGGGCAAGAGCTACGAGGAGAGGTTAGTGGCTTAAATATGCCAAAACTAGAAGACAGAAGAAAAAGAGGTGATATGATTACTACATACAAAATAATAACAGGAATTGATAAAATCGATAGGGAAGATTTCCTGAAACCTGAAACTTTAAGAACAAGAAGTCATAGATTTAAACTAGCTAAACACAGATGCCGAAGAAATATAAGAAAATTCACTTTCGCAAACAGAGTAGTACTGGGGAAGACGGGACACCATGACTGTAGCTCTCATCCTGTAACTACACTTAGGTAATTACACACACACACACACGCACACACACAGGTGGAAACTGAGTGCCCAAATGAGCCACAGAGTTATTAGTAAGAACTTTTTTAATGTCTTGAGTGGTTGACAAATGGAATGCATTAGGAAATGATGTGGTGGAGGCTGACTCCATACACAGTTTCAAGTGTAGATATGATAGTGCCCAGTAGGCTCAGGAACTGGTATACCTGTTGATTGACGGTTGAGATGCGGGACCAAAGAGCCAGAGTTCAACAACGCAATCACAATTAGGTGAGTACACATACAAACACACACACACATACACACATAAGGTTCGAAATTACAAGAGATGAGGTCAAGAAGCGCCTATTGGAGCTGAACGTGAAAAAACCTGTTGGGCCAGACGAAATATCACCATGGGTATTGAAAGAGTGTGCAGGAATACTTTGCTTGCCACTCTCCATAGTGTATAGTAGGTCACTGGAAACGGGAGACCTACCAGAAATATGGAAGACTGCTAATGTAGTACCAATATACAAAAAGGGTGACAGACAAAAGGCACTGAACTACAGGCCAGTGTCCTTAACTTGTATACCATGCAATGTGATGGAGAAGATTGTGAGAAAAAACTTAGTAACACATCTGGAGAGAAGAGACTTCGTGAAAACCCATCAACATGGGTCCAGGGAAGGTAAATCTTGCCTTACAGGCTTGATAGAATTCTACAATCAGTTGACAAAGATTAAGCAAGAAAGAGAAGGATGGCGGATTGCATTTTTTTGGACTATCGGAAAGCCTTTGACACAGTACCCAATAAAAGGTTGATGCATAAGATGGAGAAACAGGCAGGAGTAACTGGTAGGGCGCTCCAGTGGATAAGGGAGTACCTAAGCAATAGGAAGCAGAGAGTTACAGTGAGGGGTAAGACCTCAGAATGGCGTGAAGTCACCAGTGGAGTCCCACAGGGCTCTGTTCTCGGACCTATCCTGTTTCTGATATACGTAAATGATCTCCCAGAGGGTATAGACTCAATCCGCTCAGTGTTTGCTGACGACGCCAAAATTATGAGAAGGATTAAGACAGAGGAGGACAGCTTGAGGCTTCAAAAAGACCTGGACAAGCTGCAGGAATGGTCAAACAAATGGTTGTTAGAGTTTAACCCAAGCAAATGTAATGTAATGAAGATAGGGGTAGGAAGCAGGAGACCAGATACAAGGTATCATTTGGAAGATGAAATACATCAAGAGTCAGAGAGAGAGAAAGACCTGGGGGTTGATATCACGCCAGACCTGTCCCCTGAAGCTCATATCAAGAGGATAACATCAGCAGCATATGCCAGGCTGGCAAACATAAGAACGGCCTTTAGAAACTTGCGTAAGGAATCTTTCAGAACAGTATATACCACATATGTCAGAACAATCCTGGAGTATGCGACTCCAGCATGGAGTCCATATATAGTCAAGCATAAGACTAAACTGGAAAAGGTTCAAAGGTTTGCCACCAGACTAGTACCCGAGCTGAGAGGTATGAGCTACGAGGAGAGACTACGGGAATTAAACCTCACTTCGTTGGAAGACAGAAGAGTTAGGGGGACATGATCACCACATTCAAGATTCTCAAGGGAATCGACAGGGTTGATAAAGACAGGCTATTTAACACAAGGGGCACACGCACTAGGGGACACAGGTGGAAACTGAGTGCCCAAATGAGCCACAGAGATATTAGAAAGAACTTTTTTAGTGTCAGAGTGGTTGACAAATGGAATGCATTAGGAAGTGATGTGGTGGAGGCTGACTCCATACACAGTTTCAAGTGTAGATATGATAGAGCCCAATAGGCTCAGGAACCTGTACACCTGTTGATTGACGGTTGAGAGACGGGACCAAAGAGCCGGAGCTCAACCCCCGCAAGCACAACTAGGTGAGTACACACACACACACACACACTCACGCACAGAATGTGGGGGGCCTAGTAGCCTGGTGGATAGCGCGCAGGACTCGTAATTCTGTGGCGCAGGTTCAATTCCCGCACCAGGCAGAAACAAATGGGCAAAGTTTCTTTCAGCCTGAATGCCCTGTTATCTAGCAGTAAATAGATACCTTGGAGTTAGTCAGCTGCCACGGGCTGCTTCCGGGTGTGTGTGTGTGGTTAAAAAAAATAAAAGTAGTTAGTAAACAGTTGATTGACAGTTGAGAGGCGGGCCGAAAGAGCAAATCTCAACCCTCGCAAACACAACTAGGTGAATTCACACACGCACACACACACCACACACACACATATTCTCCCTATTAAACAGGTCATGGTAAATGGGGTGATAGATTAGGTTAGGTTAGCTTCCTTAGGTCGTCGCCAGCTGCCTGGCTTTCCCCCCCTCCCCCTCCCAGGCGTCTCGGACCTAAACTTTGATGAGGAACTCAGTAGCGAACAATGGTTGGTAATTACAATTGGCGAGGGTGCTCATAGACCACTTCCAGGACCTCAGTGTTGTGTTCCACTCCCCGTGACCACTTCACGGGACCCGCTTAACTCAATATGACATATGACTGTCAAGAGCAGGAATTAAAGGTTGGTGCATGCAGGTCACCTCCTGTGGAGACTGTCGGCTGTCAATTTGCTGTCATTCATATGTTGTTTGGTCTAAGGATTTCTTATATTTTTATAATTGTTCTGTCTTGTTTCAACGGTTGCATACACTCTTCGCAACAACCTACATGATAATGACTGAATGTGAAACAACCTTATCAACTGTATCTCTAAATTTTCCCAAATATTTAGGTGGATTTTAATTCTATATTCTCTTAACGTGTTCATTTCACACGAAAATTTATTCATGCGGTTCTCAGGTTAAGACTTGATAGAGGTTAGATTCAATAATAGTTTAAACAGATGAATTAATGTTCGAATAATATTCACATGTAATCAGCTGTGAGTCGTGTCTAAAGCGCCATTCATTTATAAGCTGGGGGACTACTTGCCGGATTGTGGTGATCATCGCTTGTGTAGTAAGGAAGTTTAAATGCTAATAATACAGTGATGATTTACTCCTAAAGAAAGTTTTTTTTTTAAATTAATAAAAGTCCAAATACAAACCACATAACAAGGAAAGATCATAGAAAATAATATAAATCGGCATATAACATAACACATGGCATAGGAAACAGGTAAATGACATCACGGAAAAGGCAATAGGAAATACAACAAAGTGGAACAGAAAGACAAACACCCCTAGAACATAAAGTAATATACAATCCCGGGGTCCCAAAACCCCACACAGAGGAGCACAATAATACACAAAAGGCACGTGCTAGATACATAAGAGTAATAAGCACACAAAAGTAGCATAAAAAGGCACAAAGAAAATACGTACAGAAGAAAATAAGGAAGCACACACACACACAACCCACGTAACAAACACATGGACGCACAGGATACACAACACACAACCATACCATAACACATTGATAGAGAAACCACAATGTACGAACAAAAAATACATACAAAGAAACAAGACTACATATAGGACACAGAAGACACGAACACAACATGGAAAGGAAAGCACACGAATAAACACAAGTAAATATACACTTGAACAAAGCATATAAATGGGTACACAATACATGCAAAGGCAGAACAGGGCACACACGTGCAAACGACCTGAAGGCTGGAGGGACATAAGCACATAACATTAGCCACACCAAATACAGCACTACATCAGGTCAACAGTACAACCACCCACTCAAAAGACACAAACAGCCGGAAGCAGAAAACCACAAACACACAAGCAAACCCCACACAAACAAACTCAGAAAAAAATCGGAACAAGCAAGAACCGGGAAAACAAAAACACCCCCCACCCAGACTCACACGCGCAACCCCACTCCACACCCGCGCACCCACACACAAGCAACACCACATCACATAAAAATCAACGAGAATAATATTTCTCAGGGAGCCTCGATGGATACTTCCGCTTATAAGCATCCCAAATCAAAAGCTCCAGGTCGGTAACGGGACGGCCCTCACGATGCCGCGGAATCTCCATATACTCAGGGATCACAACACCCGGCGGAAGCGGGTGATCCCAAGCACAGGGCGTCGAAGTCGAAAAACCCGTCTGACAAAAAAACATAGCCCCTGACAAAGCAGGAGACACAGAATAAACGGCTGGAGACGAAACAGGGGACGGGGGAGGGGGGCACGGAACCTTCAGCGTGAGCAGTTTTCTTCAAGACCACCACCAGGTCTCCACACCCGCTCTCAACCCCGCAAAGGGAAACCACCCCTCACGAGGAACCGGAACCACCCGACACGGGCGACGCACCTGAAGCTGGAGACACAGGCCGCACACGGGCCCACACCCCCACAGCAGGAGCCACACCATCCACCGTACCAGCACCAGACGCACCATCGTTGCACTCCACAGAGGAACAGCTCTCAGAAGAAACGTCAACACTCACCGTATCCTCACACACCTCCACCCACGCACAAGGGGGGGAAGCACTTGTATCCAGACGCGATCACTTGGGAACAGGCCGTTGATCATCGGAGCTGTCACCCCTGCAGGAGGCACCCGAGAGGGGTCGGCAGCAGGCCGCCCCACAACCGGGGAGCACGACCCCGGAAAATGTCAGCCTCAACAACATGCGGGACGAGACCGCCACTCACAGAGTCGACAGGAGAAGGAACAAGGGAGGGGAACCGTGGGAGGGGAAGTTACCATCACAGGTGAAGAAGACCACAGGGACGTCGAAGGCGACAGAGGCGCAGAGACGGAAACAGGAGCAGAAGCCGGCGGAACTGAAGAGACAGACTGCACCACGGAAGCACCCAAATGTCGATGCACCTCCGCATCCACTGATGGTCGAAGGCGCGAATCAGGGGCCCCTAGGTCCGCAGAGCGCACCGGGAGGGCAGACAGATCAGGGCCAGACGGAGCAGCCGCTGGAACCACCGCAGGAACCACACCAGGCACCTCCACAGGGCGAGAACCCACCGGGGAATCCCCACGTACAGACAAGTGGGGAAAGTCAGCCTCCACGAAGACCAAAGGGGCCTCAGCACGAGGAGCATCGCAACCGGCCGCTACGGGGCCCTCAGCGCCACACCGGAAACACGTGCGGGTCTGACCTTAATAACAGATCTGCATAGAGAGCCCACGAAACGAAACCCAGGAAGAAATAGGGCTCGTGATCCGCATGACGAGTGTGCATGCACCCTGCCGGACCCCCTTCAGCCGGCCTGCACTTAAATGTTGAACAGGTGCTTCACCACCACACCAAACCGCGTGAACAACGACATGAGTTCCGCCTCAGGGAAGGTCACCGGCACGCCGTGAACACTCACAAACGTCAAGGGCCCCCAGGGATCCGAAATCTCCACAGACACAGTCGAAGCCGGAAGAGGAAGCGAGCATGCATCCCAGCGGGCCACAAACTCCTAGTAAACAAGCGACGTGGCAAACGACACCGCAACACGGGTAGGCGATATCTTCTCTAGTCCGAGGAAATCAGAGACCAACCCGTTCTCGCAAATTTAATAAGTCAATATTGACTTATTAAATATGTGCATAGGTGACATACTTAACGTAATAGTTTCCCTTGAAAAGCTTCATAGAAAACACCGACCTTACCTAACCTACTTAGTATGTTAAGATAAGCATCTTATTGCTTCGTAATTACAATTATTACCTAACCTATACCTATAATAGGTTAAGTAACAATTGTAATTACGAAGCTATAAGATGCTTATTTTAACATACTAAGTAGGTTAGATAAGGTCGGCGTTTTCTATGAAGCTTTTCAAGGGAAACTATTATGTTTAGTATGTCACCTATGCACGCAACTAATAAGTCAATATTGACTTATTAAATTTGCGAGAACGGGTTGCATTAGTATAGCATGTGTTACGGTATAATTTTCTCCCTCACTCACTGTCCTTTAATCGAGGCAGGAAAAGGTAGAAAAAAACCATGGGTCACGCTGAATAGACAGTAAATGTCACGCTGCTTTGTGATAGAAGGTTCATGTGACGCTGGACCAGGCGTCACATGCATGGTCAAGCGTCACACGACTACAAACGGAGAGAAACAGTATTGATTGTCACTTGATGATGGTCACGGTGGTGTGCAGTGGCGCGTCACGTGACACACCTATTGTGCTTGCGGGGGTTGAGCTTTGGCTCTTTGGTCCCGCCTCTCAACTGTCAATCAACTGGTGTACAGATTCCTGAGCCTACTGGGCTCTATCATATCTACATTTGAAACTGTGTATGGAGTCAGCCTAAACCACATCACTTCCTAGTGCGTTCCATTTATTAACTACTCTGACACTGAAAACATTCTTTCTAACGTCTCTGTGGCTCATCTGGGTACTAAGTTTCCACCTGTGTCCCCTTGTTCGTGTCCCGCCCGTGCTGAAGAGTTTGTCTTTGTCCACCCTGTCAATTCCCCTGAGAATTTTGTAGGTGGTTATCATGTCTCGCCTTACTCTTCTGTTTTCCAGAGATGTAAGGTTCAGCTCCTTTAGCCTTTCCTCGTAGCTCATTCCTCTCAGTTCCGGGACGAGCCTGGTTGCATACTGCTGGATCTTCTCTAACTTTGTCTTGTGCTTAACTAAGTATGAACTCCAGGCTGGAGCTGCATACTACACGATTGGTCTTACATAAGTGTCCTACACTTGTAGTACAAGTGAGTGTACTACAGAGTCCTGAACGATTCCTTACACAAGTTTCTAAAGGCAGTTCTTATGTTGGCCAGTCTAGCATATGCCGCTGATGATATTCTTTTGATGTGGGCCTCTGGGGACAGGTTCGGTGTGATATCAACCTGCAGACCTTTCTCTCTATTTGACTCTTGCAGTATTTCACCTTCCAAATGATACGTTGTGTTCAGGTTCCTGCTCGCTTCGCCTAATTTCATTACCTTACACTTTCCTGAGTTGAATTCTAGCAGCCATCTTCTAGACCATTCCTCCAGTTTGTCCAGGTCATCCGGTAGTCTCTGTCTATCTCCATCCGTCTTGAATCTTCTCATAATTTTTACATCATCAGCAAACATTGAGAGGAACGAGTCTATACCCTCCAGAAGATCGCTAACATATATTAGAAACAGGATGGGTCCATGTCCTGAGCCCTGTTGGACTCAGTTGGTGACATCTAACCACTCTGATGTCTCCATCCCCCCCCCCCCCTGCCGTTACTCGCTGTTTCCTGTTGCTTAAGGGGTCATGGTACCCGAAAATCCGATGAAAAATGGAATATATACGAAAAATTACGAAAAATACTACAACGTTCTGGCAATACTGTGGTCCAAACCGTTTAATGATATCTTGAAAAATAACGTAATTAGAGTCAAATTTCCCGCTGCAACTCTCGTGAATCTGGTCCTCGCGGCGTGATTGCACCGCGGGGTATTGTATCTTACGTTGTAGAAGTCTTATTTTTCGTAATAGCGTTGAAAATAACATGTTATGCATAAAATGAATATAAACTCACTCATTGGCAACAGTATCGTGTGAGAGAGAGGGTGGTATGTGGCTCAGGCCCCTCAGTGACACTGTGTCTCTCTTGGAAAGAGGATGTATGCTGACGCGCTCTCACAATATCTCCCAGAACATGCTATTTTTGCTATTTGTACTGCAATATGACTTACCAAACGAACAAGAGAAAAGCATTGAAAGCTAGATGCATGCAAGCTCTCCATAGAAGGTACGAGCTGGCTCATACTCGCGGTCACGAGTGACCGCGAGTAGAGTAACTTGTCGCGCGCGCTACGCAACTCCAACTTTTACAACTAGATCTGGTTTCACAGCCTTTATTTATTATTCAATTTACATGAAACTTGCACATTATATGTAGAGTTTACGCCTCTAAAAACGGTTGATATTTTTCTTATCTACGTAGATTTATTGATTTTATAAATAATGATACACTTCATTTTGTTGCATACGTTTTTGGGAAACTTTTAAAATTCTGTATTATTGCACTAAATACATCTGGGATAAAGATCGATCAACCAAATCTTTATTATATAGTAAGGTAAGGCTGAGTGTCGTAGAAATGATTTTGGTTCACAATTGTGGGCTGTGAAAGCAATTGAACATTGTTGAAAAATTGTATAATTTTTTTTTTTTCTCCTTCTCTATTTAGGCTGAGATGCTGAAACTTGGCCTAGGTGCAGCACCTTTCACATGTATGAGGATAATAAATTATGAATACCCTACAACAACTCTCATATTTCCGGTCTTATAACCCCTTAAGTACTCCCTTATCCACTGGAGCACCTTACCTTTTACTCCTGCCTGAAGCTCATGTGTGTGTGTGTGTACTCACCTAGTTGTGTTTGCGGGGATTGAGCTCTGGCTCTTTGGTCCTGCCTCTCAACCGTCAATCAACTGACGAGTGTGTGTGTGTTTGTACTCACCTAATTGTGCTTGTGGGGGTTGAGCTTTGGCTCTTTGGTCCCGCCTCTCAACCGTCAATCAACTGGTGTACAGATTCCTGAGCCTACTGGGCTCTATAGTATCTACATTTGAAACTGTGTATGGAGTCAGCCTCCACCACAACACTACTTAATGAATTCCATTTACTAACAACTCTGACACTGAAAAAGTTCTTTCTAATGTCTCTGTGGCTCATTTGGGTACTCAGCTTCCACCTGTGTCCCCTTGTTCGCGTCCCTCCAGTGTTGAATAAATCATCCTTGTTTACCCGGTCGATTCCCCTGAGGATTTTGTATGTTGTGATCATGTCCCCTCTTACTCTTCTGTCTTCCAGTGTCGTAAGGTGCATTTCTCTCAGTATTTCCTCATAACTCACGCCTCTTAGTTCTGGGACTAGTCTAGTAGCATACCTTTGGACTTTTTCCAGCTTCGTCTTGTGCTTGATAAGGTACGGGCTCCATGCTGGGGCCGCATACTCCAGGATTGGTCTTACATGTGTGGTGTACAAGATTCTGAATGATTCCTTACACAGGTTCCTGAAAGCCGTTCTGATGTTAGCCAGCCTCGCATATGCCGCAGACGTTATTCTCTTTATGTGGGCTTCAGGAAACAGGTTTGGTGTGATATCATCTCCTAGATCTTTCTCTCTGTCTTTTTCATTAAGTACTTCATCTCCTATTCTGTATCCTGTGTCTGGCCTCCTGTTTTCACTGCCTAGTTTAATTACTTTGCATTTACTCGGGTTGAACTTCAACAGCCATTTGTTGGACCATTCACTCAGTCTATCTAGGTAATCTTGAAGCCTCCTACTATCATCCTCTGTTTCAATCCTCCTCATAATTTTTGCATCGTCGGCAAACATTGAGAGGAACGAATCTATACTCTCTGGGAGATCATTTACATATACCAGAAACAGTATAGGTCCAAGGACTATCCCCTGCGGGACTCCACTTGTAACGTCTCGCCAATCTGAGACCTCACCCCTCACACAGACTCGTTGTCTCCTGTTGCTTAGGTACTCCTCTATCCACCGGAGTACCTTCCCTTTCACTCCAGCCTGCATCTCCAACTTTCGCACTAGCCTCTTGTGTGGCACTGTATCAAAGGCTTTCTGACAATCCGAAAATATGCAGTCTGCCCACCCTTCTCTTTCTTGCCTTTTTTTTGTTGCCTGGTCATAGAATTCAAGTAACCCTGTCAGGCAGGACCTGCCATCCCTGAACTCATGTCGATGCTGTGTTACAAAGTTCCTTCGCTCCAGATGCTCCACTTTTTTTTCACACAATCTTCTCCATCAGCTTGCATGGTATGCAGGTTAAGAACACTGGCCTGTAGTTCAGTGCCTCCTGTCTATCCTCTTTCTTGTATATCGGGACTACGTTAGCTGTTTTCCAAATATCTGGCAGTTCCCCTATTGCCAGCGATTTGTTATACACTATGGAAAGTGGTACGCACCGTTCTCTACTGTCTTCGCACCTACTGTCACTTGTTGTAAGGTCACCCTAGGGGGCTCCCCATATTATATACCCATCTATAATAACTCGACAAGACACTAATTATATATCAGTGAATCGTTGCTAGGCGTTCCATGTGGGAGGGCGTTGTTGTTGCGTCGGCGCCACGGGGATTCCCCCTTCTCCCTTTTTGCCGCTCTGAGGCCGTGGGTCTGGAATTTTCTGGACGCGCGTCTTACCTGGCCCTTGAGATTGT